GACTACCCTGAAAACTTCCAACCCATTCTCCGTGCTACCTGACGAATGTGAGTGTTTTACTGGGAATGCCACAACGACACCAAGGAAGCATTGGCAGACGTGAGTGAGACATCCCTAGAAACCCCAACGAAGACCATCGAGAACGTCCTTTACGAATTCCACAAGTGGTGTAAAGCTACCTGACGAATGTGATTCGACTACTGGGAGCATCACGAAGGACGACGCCAAGGAAGGTAAAAACATTGTTGTTGTTGGGAATAGCTAAGTTAGGTACATGGATAGGGCATTCTGCCCTTTAAGGATAGGAGTAGGAGGCAGAGAGTGTGTTTTTCCGGGGGTGGGATGAAGGATATTTTTAGCCGTTTTGGATGACATCATGAGAGGTAATGGGAGCAATCCTATTATCTGTCTCAATGCTGGAGGCAACGATTTGGCAGACGTAGGAGTGAGGACCTGATTAGCAGGTATAGGTCAGCAATAGAGATAATTAGGAGGAAGAGTGGGAAACCTGTCATATGTGGCATTTGGGCCCCAAGAGAGGAGTTGGAAATGAATGGTTGTCCAGAGCAATTGGTGTCAATTGCTGGCTGGACAAATACTGTAAGGAAAATGCGGTAACATTCATTGACAACTGGGACCTCTTCTATGGCGAAAATGACATGTATGCCAGGGATGGGGTTCCCCTTATCTAGGGTGGGGTGGGAGCACTGGCCAACGCAGTTGGAGGGAGCTGTTATGTCTTAAACTAGGAATAGTTTTGTGGTATGGGTTTTTGGGCGGGAAAACTGTGAAGTCGCAGGGTAGTAATATGAGTACTAGGAGAACTAGTAATAGGCAAAATGAGGTGGATATTGGAAAGCCAGTGGTACTAATTGACAAGGACAGTAAATAAAGGGTTTTGTGGAATAACAAAAAAGGAGCAGGAAGCGTAAAGAGAGAGGAGGGTCTTCAAATATTTATTACACAAATAGTCGCAGTGCTAAGAATAAGATGGACTAGTTGCTAGTGCAGGTAACATTGATGTATTTGCCATTACTGAGACGTGGTTTAATTCAAAAAGTCGGGACATGCCTGCAGAATGTCACATTCAGGTTTTAAATTGTTCCAAGTAGATAGAAGTGTCGGGAAGGGGGGTGGGGTGGCATTGTATGTCCGAGATCGCTTGAACTGTTGCATAAAAACGGGTATTAAGTCTGAAGTAACACATACAGAGTCTGTTTGGATAGAATTTTCAGAGGGGCATGAAAAATTAATTTTAGGTGTGATATACCGTCCCCCCAAATTTAGATAGGGACCAGGGAGACTACTATGGGAGGAAATTGTTAGGGCCACAAGGCACGATAATGTAGTAATTCTGGGAGACTTTAACTTTAGTCATATTGATTGGAATTTCTTGACTGGGAATTTAGAATCATACGATTTCTTAGAAGTAGTTCAGGATTGTTTTTTGAAGCAGTTTGTGACTGAGCCTACAAGGGGTAATAACCTGCTTGACTTAGTTCTGGCAAAAAATGAATCCCTTGTTAATAATTTAGAAGTTTCAGAGGAACTGGGTGCTAGCGACCACAAATCAATTACATTTAGCATTGAATGGAAGTATGATAGTAGGGATAACTCAGTAACAGTCCCAGATTTTCGCTTAGCAGATTACGATGAGCTTAGAGAACACTTATCATCTGTTGACTGGGGTAACGAAGAGAGCTATCAATATGACAGTTTTCTGAACACTATACATGCTGCTCAAAGAACGTCTATCCCTTATAAAGAAATTAGATCAAATAGAAATGACCCGAAATGGATGAATAATAGGTTGAAATATCTACTAGGGCATAAGAAAGGAATTTATAGGCGTATCAAAAGAGGCGAGGGTCATCTTATGAATCAGTATATTGACATTAAGAGGGACATTACAAAGGGGATAAGAAAAGCTAAAAGGGACTATGAAATTAAAGTTGCTAGGGATTCTAAAACTAACCCAAAAAGTTTTTTCCAGGTATATAGAACAAAAATGAGAGATAAGATAGGTCCCCTTAAAAATAACTATGGGCATCTTACTGACAAAGAGAATGAAATGTGCTCGATTTTAAATAATTATTTCTCTCGGTTTTTACACAGGAAGACACTAATAATATTCCGGTAATTAATTTTTATAGTGGGCCAGAAGAAGATAAATTATGTAACATCACAGTCACTAGTGAAATGGTTGTGAAGCAGATAGACCGACAGAAGCAAAATAAGTCACCGGGTCCTGAAGAGGTTTTTTCAAGGGTTCTTAAGGAATGCAAAATGGAAGTCTGTGAACCATTAACTAATATTTTTAATTTATCTCTTCAAACAGGTGTAGTGTCTGATATGTGGAAGATGGCTAATGTAATTCCTATTTTTAAAACAGGGGACAAGTCGTTACCGTCAAATTACCGCCTAATAAGCCTGACCTCAACTGTAGGCAAATTACTAGAGTCAATTTTAGCTCAGATTATAAGAAGCCATCTCGATAAGC